ACCCCGGCCCCTTCCCAGCCCTAACTTTCCCTCCCGCTCTCCCTGACCCAGTGCGAGCTCTCTGGAAACCGGGCTTTGAGTGAGTGAGTCATCCCGAGGGCAGAGTTTATCCCGTTTGCGCTTTTTGGTTACACTTTGATTCCCCCAGAAAAGAGAGCCGCAGGGATTTTTTTTTTTAAGTCGATGCCATATTTGAGCTAAAGCTGGCTGGCTCTAGGGAATCCTTCCGCAACTGTCTTTAGGAGTAGGAGCTGGAATTTGCTGCACCGACAGGTTTGTACACATTCTTGCCATGCAGTGGTTGTAATGTCTCCATAGCACAGTTCTGAATCGGGAAGGATTGGCTGCTTTTTCTACTCCATACCTCCGAGCCAATCAGGAAGCGCGGCTTGCCTGGAGACTGGTTAACTCAGAAAAGGTGGGGATTGGTTGAGCTCCGAGAAGAAAATCCCGGAGATAACCTGGCCTTTTAGAAAACAATGACTGATTTGCCGCTGCCTCACTGCTCCCACTTATTTATTTTAATACGTTATCCTTTGATAACAATATTCGCTTTTGCAGTTCTTTAAAGATAGCACTCCCACTGTTGTCTTTCAGATTAGCTCTCGACTGCAACTCATTTGAACTCCTATGGTTCAGTTTTCCCTGAGATAATCCTTACGTATTTTAAAGGGATATAAATATGCGTTTTGTGCTTTGATAAGTGTGGTTCAGTTTTCTTTCAGCCGATTTTTTTTTTGTTGTTGTTGTTAAAGGTCACAAATGAAGTCAATTTTCAGTTACTATGCCAACGTATTATTTAAATGTTCAGCGAGGATGGGGGCTCCAGTGGTGGAGATGGTGGGAAGAATTAGAAAGAAATGGCTGCTGCTTCTCTGCAGAGATACAGTGATCTAGTTAACGAGGAAAAAGCAAAACACCAACCTGGAAAGCAGTAGCAGACCTGCCTCCCCTGCAAATTAGCATACAGTACTCAGCGGGTCTGTGCACTTGTTGGCTTCAGTCGCTGTGAAGGGGAGACAGTGACAGTACAGTACTTCATAGAAAAACTTCATAGAAAAATGACAAAGGCTTGTATCTTGTACACAATTAGAGGCTAACTACTATCATTGTAAATGTGTTTTTAAAATTCTTTTAAAACCTCCATTATTGCCAGGCGTTGATGGCTCATCCCTTTAATCCCAGCACTCAGGAGGCAGAGGCAGGCAGATCTCTCTGAGTTCAAGGCCAGCCTGGTCTACAGAGGGAGACAACCTCCAAAGCAATACAGAGAAACCCTGTCTGGAAAAACCAACCAACCAACCAACCAACCAACCAAACAAAATAAAAAAACTCTATATTATTAATCCTGATTATCCTTGCCTTTTGATATACAAAGGAACCTTGTGGTCAATCACTGAGCCTCATTGGATTGAAAATAGTTTGTGTAGGAATTGAGATTGAAGTTTTGATACTCCCTATGCTAGGCAGAGTAATACCTCATTCCCTTTATCGTCTTCATCATCATGGCAATAAAATCACACAGGTACTGATGCCAGGTACTGTGGTAAGGACTTTATGTGTAATATTTGTGTTTAATTTAAATTCATCACATTCTGAAAAATTTGCATGCATTGTTATAATCTTGTTTTACAGATAAGGAGAGACTGGGAACCATTCAAATTACTAAAAGTCACCCATTTTTATGATTCTAACCTTTTAACACATTTCCATGGGCCTTTGAAACTAGAACTTAATTTGCTTTTTATCTGAGATAGGGTCTCACTATGTAGCTAGCCTTGGGTGGCCTCCAACTCATAGAGATCCACCTGCCTCTATCTCCTAAGCTAGGATTAAAGGCAAACCCCATCGTGCCTGCCCTAAATCTTTGATACCCAGAAAATAACTACATTTTCAAAAATCCATTTAGCCTATCAATTATAAGATATTTTATGTGCTAGCATGAAAAAAATATTCCAAGTAAACTGACATGTCATTGTTGGGTCAGTTACCAACATCTACAAATATGTCTTATGTGGATGAAATAAGATATATTGGATTCTCACCTGAACATTTTTCCTTCTGTCACTTTAGTTTCCCTCTGTATAAGGGTAATACGATTTTAAAAATGGTTAAGGATAGTGGTTATTGGATTTACTTGTATCCTCCTGCCTGTCCTCAGGAGGTCTTCAGCCCAGGGTAGGTTTTGCATCGATTAGAAGAAAGGCCTTCAGGAAGCTGGAGGTACTTTTCTTCTTACCCCAGAGCTCAGAGCTCATTGCTGTCCAGTAATTATTAGTATATCTAGACTACAGTTAATCGATTCTATTCAGAACTTAACAAATTAAAAGAATACTTCATTGATTTCGGCGGGACATTAAATTGATGAGTCAGCTGGATTTTTATGACTACTGATCAATGGAATAACCAGTCAGATATCCTACATTGCTGCTCCTGTTGAAGCTGGTTAGTATTGCCAGGCTCACTGAAAACACCTAGACTGATGGTTAACAGTTCATTGTTTTAAATGTGGATTGTTGGTTCCTACACTTTTGTTTTTTGACACAGTGTTATGTAGCCCAGACTGACCTTGAATTCAGTATGTGACTGAGGATGGATGGTCTTGGGTCTTGCTCCTGATAAAAACTATATCATATTAAATGTCCCAATAGATAATGAGAGAACTGCAAGAGAAATCTAGTCTAGAAATTATTTTGTTTCAGAATTTAAATTGTAATTAAAATAGGATTACTAAACCCAAAAACAAGCAGAGAGTGGTGGTTCCCACCTGTTATCTCAGGACTTGGGAAGCTGAGGCAGGAAGACTGCCACAATAAGTTCAGGGTTAGCCTGGGCTACACAGTCTGAGCTGGAAATCCTACCTCAAAAAGCTACCATCCCTGGCCAGGATTTTCTGCTGTTATTATGTATGTACTGATAATTGTGTAACTATTTAGCCCAAAGCTCTTTTCCGGTATCTGGACATCTGTCTTAATGACATGCCCATTGGATATTCTTTCAGGTGATTCATACTCTGCATATCCCAAGGCTGTAGTCATCATCAGCTATCCCATCCTCACACCAAAAAAGTATGTAGGACTGTCTTTTCCATCTCCTATCTCTAGGAGATTAAACTAGGTAGTGCATATATGTATACACTATGTGGCAGAAATATAAGCTATTCCATGTATTCCTTTTCATTTTACTTGTGGTCAATCACTGAGCCTCATTGGATTGTTTCTCAGATAATCTCTTGGATATGTTTCCTTATCCTTAATGTTGCCATTGTATTCCATAGTTAACATTATCTCAAATTGTTTGCTGTAATACCTTCTTCACTGGTCATCCCGTTGGTTTTTGTGTGTTTTCACTGTAGCCAGAACCATTGTTCTAACATATTTGAGTTGAGCAAGTAACTTGATTGTGGGATTGTTTGTTTTTGTTTATTTGAGACAGGTCTCTCTGTGTAGCCCTGGCTGTCCTAGAACTCCGAGATCTGCCTGCCTCTGCCTTCCAAGTGCTGGGACTAAAGGTGTATGCTACCACTGCCTTGATGGTTGTGGGTTTTTGTTTTTTGTTTTTTTTTTTTTACTTTTCTCTTCATTGCTCATGAACTAAATGTGGCTTTCAGGATCCTCATAATTGGACTTCAGATGAACTTTATCCTCCCTTGCCCTTCCCTTTCCCCTCAGTGAGCTAGTCTTACTCAGTCACTTACTCAGTCCCTTTAACATGCTGAGTTCTTTAAATCTAGGCATTATTACAGAAGCTTTTTCTGTCTTGAATGCCTCCTTACTTCCCTAGTTACCTTCACTTTTGTTTGTTAGTCATACTTGTCTGCCATGTCCCAGTGTGGGTGGTACTCTACTAAAGATCTCTACTAAAAGATCTCTTTGACACAAGACTGGGAAATACAAGCCCCATGTTTCCTTAGTACTCTGTGTTCTCTTAATCACACTGTAATTGCTTGCTTATTTGTCATTTCGCCATGTACTGGTTTAAGGTATAACAAAATGCTTGAAAAATATGATCTGAGTTGCATTGAAATATAATAAAAAAAGCAATTAAATAGTAATTTGGGAGCTTACTTAGTAGAAAAAGAACAGAGACATTGGTTCTAATAGATGAAAATTATCTAAGCCTGAATATAAAATATTCTTTGACATCTAATTTCTGTCTATTCAGTTTTCTTGTTATTAGGTAGGGCTTTTTGGAGTTGATGTTCTGGAAATGGCCTGTGAGGGTGGGTGTTACTGGCTCATATGACAATATAATAGAACTTGTATGGTGAAGGTGGCCATGAGGGTTGGAATTTGACCATAGCTGGGCCTTTCCTGTACGTAAAATGTATATGGGCCTCATTTCTCCTGCTGAGGATTCGACCTGGTTCCTATCAGCAGCACAAGTTTGTTTACTTAGAGTCTCTTCATTGTTTGATGGCATTATTTGATGATAGCCTGTGTTCTCTTAAGGAGGAAGCTGACCCCTGATGGAGGAAGGGATGTGGAAAGAGTTCTGGGCAGGTATAGAGAATGTCCATTTTCATTCTTAGTTGCTTGTCTCATCATGAATTGTTTTTTGTAGGTACTTTTTATTTGTGGGAAGGAGGTGTTGTGTATTATGGACTTGAGTATTCCAGGTGCTGAAATGGTAAGTCTACTCATTTGTTTATTTTTTTATTATCTATCTGTCTGTCTATCTATCTATCTATCTATCTATCTATCTATCTATCTATCTTTGTTCTTTTCGAGACATGGTTTCCTCTGTGTAACAGTCCTGGCTGCCTTGGAACTCTCTGTGTAGACCAGTCTAGTCTCGAACTCACAGAGATCTGTCTGCCTCTGCCTCCTGAGTGCTGGGACTAAAGGCATCTGCCACCAGTGCCTGGCCCAGTCTACTGTTTTAAAGAACTAGCAGTAGTTTGGTTTACACTAGTTAGTATACAGGATATTTATTGATTTTGTTTGTTTGTTTGTTTGCTAAATAATACACATACCTGCTTTCGTAATAGTATTCTAAAGTGGGGATGGAATGATGGGTCAGTGGTTGAGTGCTGACTACTCTTTCAAAGGACCCAGGTTCAATTCCCAGCACCCACATGGCAGCTCACAACTGTCTGTAACTCCAGTTCCAGGGGACCTGACTCCCTCACACAGACATACATGCAGGTAAAACATCAATGCACATAAAATAAAAATAAATTGTTAAAAATATAGTCTAAAGTCAATACAAAGGTGTCAAGATAAAAGTGTGCTTAGGATGCAGTGGGAGTTGAGTTGAAATCAGACTTTGGGAGATTGAGTAACTTTTCTGAAAGACAGTTAATTGAGCTAGGAAGTATGGCTTTGTGGGGGGTGTTATAGAGGGACATCTGGGTTGAGCATGTATGAGGCAGAGATCCATGATATTGGCTTACCTCTTGATAGAAGCAAGCATGCAGATACAGATGGAATAGAGCGTATGTAAAGAGGGTGCCTCTATTAAGGTGAGGGACTAGGTCATAAGAGTCCTTGAATGCATTACTAAGGAAGTAGAACTTCTTGTTGAAAGCTATAGAGTCATTAAAAGTTTTTAAGTTAAAATACCCATGGAATATTCATGTGGCAGTTAACTATATAATTTGGGAGAGAATTCCTTAATAGAATTAGTTATAGCTGTTGAAGCTATGAGCTTGGATAAACCTAGACACAGTGAGTAGAATAGAAGACTGGTGATGTGACACAACCCAGGAGGAACAATGACATGAAACAAGTGAGCAGGAGAGAAGTCCATGGATGAGACTGAGAGTGCTAGCTAGCTAAAGAAAACCGGTGGAGTAATCGCCATTATGCACTGGGGATATATTCCAAGACCCTAAATGGGAGCCTGAAACTGCAGATAGTACTGAACTGTATGTGTATTATATTTATCTTTTTTTTCACTCTATATTTATTAAAAGTTCCCATGTAAAAAGCACTCTGCTGATGTTTTGTTGTATATAAAATATGCTTTGTTTTCATGATCTCAAAGTCTAATTAGGAAATGAATAGTGAATGAATAATGACTGAATACGAATAAAGGGACCAGCAAGATGGTTTGGGGGTAAAGGAACTTGCTGTCAAGGCTGATGATTTGAGTTTAATACCCAGACCTTACATGATAGAAAAAAGAGACTAGATTGCTTTAAGTTGTTTTCTGACCCCATGTGCACAGCATGGAATGCACACGTCCACATACGTGCATCATACATACGCATGAAATTAAATAAATAAATAAATAAATAAATAGAAAAACATCTTAAAAGAAGAACAAAAGAAAGCAAGAAGTTGGAGATGTGGTTTGAAGGCGACAGAGGAGATAGAGGTGGAGGGAATAAGGATACATCTGTATGAGAGGATAAGGCTAAATGATGGTTTCAAAGACCATCACAGTCAAAGTAAGGAATCTCAGGGTGGTGCTTCACTCTTTTGATCCCAGCACTCTGGAGGCAGAGACCAGCCTGGTTTTTAGAGCTCACTGCAGGACAGCCATGGCTACAGGAAGAAGCCCTGTCTTAAAAAGCAAAATAAAACAAAACAAAAAGAAAGGAATCAAGGATTATTTTTGCTAAATATATGGCTTGAGCCATTGGGGAGTGGAAGCAGTTTAGGAGATTGAGAATATTATTGAGGGCAGAGGTATAAACTATGCATTGTGAAACATAAACTCTGAGATGGTTTTAGATATGTAGTGCATTAGGAATCTAACTGGAGGCAGGACACTATGACATGCACGTGGGAGGTAAAGACAGGAAGATGCTCTCTGCTACATAGCAAGTGTTAGGCCAGCCTGAACTACATAAAACCTTGTCAGAGTGGGAGAAGGAAAGGGAACAAGAGTACATATGTAACTTCCAGGTTCAGTCCTCACTACCAGTACAAATCAAAACAAATAAGCAGAAACCTAAGTTGAAGTATAAATACAGATACCCATATAGAAATACATATTGTTCAAGAAAAAAGGACTTGGGCCAGGCTGTGGTGGGTGAATGCCTTTAGCTCTAGCACTTGGGAGACAGAGGCTAGCCTGGTCTGCAAAGTGAGTTCCAGGACAGCTGGGGGCTTTTACACAGAGAGACTCTGTCTTGAAAAAAACAAAAAACAAAAACAAAAACAAAAAAACAAAAACCAACCAAATGGACCAAAACAATAAAAGAAAAAAGGACTTGCACTGGAGGTCTTACTCTGTGGTAGAATACACTTCCTACCATGTTTTCCCCATATATATAAATACCTACAATAAAGTATAATTTATGACTTAGGCATAGTAGGAGATGAGTAACAACAGGGAATAGAAATGGCAAAATAGAAAATGGTAGAATGGTTCTAACAATATATTGATATATGAGGCTAGTCTGGTCTACAGAGAGAGTTCCAGGATGTCTAGGATTACACAGAGAAACAAAAACAAAACAAAACAAAATGCTATATGAATGTGATCTTTCAAATAATACTATGGGGGCTGGAGAGATGGCTCAGTGGTTAAGAGCACTGGCTGCTCTTCCAGAGGTCCTAGGTTTAATTTCCAGTATCCACACGGCTGCTCACAACCACTTTTGACTGCGGTTCCAGGAGATCCAGTGTTCTCTTTGGGCCTCTGTGGGCATCACACGTTCATGTGGTACACAGGCATACATACATATAGGCAGAACACTCATACACATAAGAAAAAAGATTGAAAGATCACACTCCTACTTCTTGTGATAGGAGGTCAGTTGTACATAAGTGTGATGAGATAAACTTGCCATGACCCTCTTGCCTCTGTCTCTGAGTGCCAGGATTACAGATGTACAGTGTCATATCTGGCTTTCAGAGGACCATTGTGAGTAGGGAGGAAAGATTTATTGTCTCTGGCTCATGGTTTCCAAAGTTTCAGCTGGCCCTGTTGTTATGGCCTACAATGAGGCATGGCATCATGGTGGCTGGAGTATGAGACAGAACATGATTGCTCACTTCATCCAACCAGGAGGCAGAAAGAGACTGAGAGGGGGCCAGAGACAAGATACCCTTCATATGACATGCGTCCCGTGACCTGCTTCCTTTGGCCAGGCACTGCCTCCTAAAGTTTCTACCACCTCCCAAAACAGCACCAGCTGGGGACCAACTCTTCAGCGTACAAACCCATGGTGGATATTTTCTATTCAGAAATCAAATTTAGGCCTTGTACATGCTAGGTAAACACTACCACTAAGCCACTTTAAATAATGTTAAGGTAAATAGTACCTAAAATGAAATGTATTGTTCTGTCATTTTAACGCCTCTCCTCCCTTTTTATGGTTGAAGTTTTTTTTGAGATAAAGTCTCACCATGTAGCCCAGTCTGGTCTCAAACTTGTTAGGAAGTTCAGGCTAGTCTCAGACATTGACACTCTGTGTTAGCCTCCAGTGTGCTAGGATTTCAGCATAGACTTCCACACCTGGCTATACAAGGTCAATTTCTATCAACCTTTCTAACAATGGTCTGGAGAAGCAAAAACAAGCAAACAAACAACAACAACAAAACCAACAAAAAAAGGTGTGCTCTTATTTTGGATTTTTATATATTTAAGATTATAATTTGAATGCTGGGTATGGCAGTACACATACGCCTTTAACCCCAGCATTTGGGAGACTGAGAGATGATGGATCTTTGAGTTCTTGGTCAACTTTGAGTAAGTTTTGGGGCTACATAGTGAGACTCTCATGCCCCCTCCCAAATTGTAATTTGATATGGGTGTGCCTTATAAGCATATTTAAGTATGCTCTTGTAGACCAGGCTGGTATTGAACTTACAGAGCTGCCTGCCTCTGCCTCCCGAGTCCTGGGATCAAGGGCATGTGCCACTACCATTGGGCTATTTTAAGTATACCTAACATTGCATTTCATTATTTTCTAGTAAGAAGACAGTTTTAGAGTTACAGATGTCAACTGTGGCCTTCCTAAGCACACTGGTATCACCAATGCCAGCCAGCCAGACAAGACAGTAAGGACTACTACAATCATAGGGGATGAATATTTTACAAGTAAGTTTTCAAGCTTTCATTTACGTATTTGAGTGATTAAAAGAAAAATCATGAGAAAGCAGGTATCAGAAATGTTGGTTACTGGAATATGTGGAAGAGCTTGTGTTAGGGTTGTAAAACAGTGTTGACTTTAACAACTTAACTGTATTATGGCCCCAGTTTTTCCATTTAATGAGTGTTTTAGTCTCTCTTTCCCTAAAATTTCACTTCTTGATCTTTCATATTTACATATCTTTAGCCATGTACACATATCTTTCATGTGTCTTATGTATGGGACCATGTTAAGAACATGATCTGTGTTCTCAGAAAACATGCTTGTCAGGGAGGTGAGCATCTCCAGATGAAACTGTGTGGATACCCTCGTCAATCACTTTCTCCAGGTTCTGTCATGTAGGCAGCACAGTGCTCTGTGCGACGTGGTACAGTGCCTGCCCAGTGTTCAAGACGAAAATGAGCTTTGTGTTGTTCAGCACTGTGGATTCCTCCAGCCTGTCTGGGTTCTGAGGGACAATGTCAGAGAAGACTCGTCGATCAGGTGTATATAAAACACATTACATCTAAAGATACTACAGAAAATACAAGTTAGTGAATTAATGACGGAAAGCCCTAAAACAAGCAAGATGACTATTGCAGTAAGTAGGAAAGGACCTCAGAAAGTGTTGGAGGATTGTAGAGAGGTATAGCTTCTGTCTTTTCTAAGAGCAGGGTGTCTCAGAGCTCTCAGGATTCTCCAGAATACTGTATTCTTTTCAATTGCTACATAATACTTACAGGGTATTATTGCCATAATTTAACCATTTTGTTTTCTGCTGATATTCAGCATGTCTTCATTTATCAATTACTGTCGTTTTTATGATATGTAGGTGTATGTTAAAGACAATTGGTTTTCTTTTCTTTCTTTCTTTTTTGGTGTTTTGAAACAGGGTTTCTCTGTGAAACAGTCTTGGCTGTCCTGGAACTTGCTTTGCAGACCAGTTGACCTCAAACTCAGAGATCTGCCTGCCTCTGCCTCCTGAGTGCTGGGACTAAAGGCTTGTGCCATCACCCCTTGGTTTAGCATCATATCTTAAATCAAAACAAATAAACAAAATCCTCTTTTAAATATTATCTAAAATCTGGACTCTAGCAGCTTGGGAGGCCAAAGCAGGAGAATTGGAAGTTCAAGGCCTCCCTCTGCTTGAGTGACTTTAAGACCAGTTTGGGAAACTTAATGAGGCTCTATCTTAACATAAGACAAGTGAGAAGGGGTCTGAGAATGTAGTTCAACAGTAGAGCACTTGTCTAGCATGTGTGAGGTTCTAGTTCAACTCCTAGTAGTACAAAATAACCAAAATTTAGCCCTGATTGTTCTGGAACTCTGAAGACCAGGATGGCCTTGAGTTCAGAGATCCTCCTGCAGGGGGGAGGGGGGCCCTCTCCCCCCATTAAAGGTGTGTGTCACCACTGTCTAGCTTATTCTTTAAATAAAAAAAAAATACTTTAGATAATTTCTTGCTGTGTTGCCCATGCTGATCTTGAACATCTATACTTGAGCAGTCTTTGTGCTTTATGCCCACAGTAATCTGGACTATAGCTACACTCTTCTACATTCAGCTCAAAACATAGTTTTTAGTGACTGCCTGTCTTAGACACTGTCCTTTTGCTGTGAACAAACACCATGGCCAAGGCAACTCTATAAAAGAAACCATTTAATTGGGAGCTTTAAAGTTTCAGATAGTTCATTATCACGGCAGGGAACATGGCTTTGGGCAGGGGTGGTGGTGGAGAAGTAGCTGAGAGTTACATCTTGATCTGCAAACAGAGAGGGATTAGGACTGAGGCAGGGGTAGAAACAGAGACTGCAGAGCCTGGTCTACACCTCCTAATCCTTCTAGCCCTTCCCAGATAGGGCCACTCCCTTGTTATTAAGCATTCACATATTTCTTAGTCAGACCACCACACTGCTTAAAATTCTGTCTTATTTAGTAGAGCCTTGTATCTACTTAGCAATAAAACAACTCTATTTTATTTATTTATTTTTTAAATAACCTTATTATATTGTTGTTATATCCTGAAATGCTTTCATCTCTGCTTGCATAGTTTGGGTTACAATATACAGGCCATCTATACTGTTAGATATGGCCTGAAGTGCTTGTGCCGTTTTGGAATTTCCTGTTTGTATCTGACTTATTTCTGCTTTTAGAGGTTCAAGCATAGCTGCTGCTATACCTCCTCCCATAAGTCCTCCTAATAATGCTCCTACAGCAAATGCTCCTGCTGCCAGGAACTGTAGGGGTTTCCTGCTTAATTTTGTGGGCGAGGAGTATGATAGGTCAGTAAGGCCTACAGCAGCATCTACTGTGGTGGTGCTTTTAGTTGTGTTAAATCTAACTTTATAGATATTTTCCTTATTCTAGGAAATAAAATGACTGATGCCATAGTTTTTAAATCTGGTACCATCATTGGTGCTTTCACCATAGTTGGGTATTCTATTTCTGGCATTATATCTATTACTTCCTTTAAGGGTGATTTTCTATTTAGTCTAGGCCTATTATTTAATTCATATACTGCTATCTCTAAGGCCAGAGTTATCTTAGTATCTCTCATAGATTCTAATATTTTTCCTTGTATATATAGAGTTTATTTTTTTCACTTTTATCATTTTTTTATTTGAATTAGAAGTAAGATTGATTTACATGACAATCCCAGTTCCCTTCTCCCTCTTGTCCTCCCCTAACACCTCCCCCAACTAAAACCCTATCTATCACATACCCTTTCTTCTAATCTACACCTGACTCAACCTTTCTGCTCCCTCATGACCTCTGCATCCTTACTCTTCTTCCCTTCTCATTCTCGTAGCTCCCTCCCCCCTCTTCCCATGCTCTCAATTTGCTCAGGGGATCATGACCCTTTCTCCTTCTCCAGGGGACAATGTTTGTCTTTCTTAGGGTCCTCCTTGTTTACTAGTTTACTAGTGTGGATTGTAGGCTGGTAATCCTTTACTCTATGTCTAAAATCCACATATGAGTGAGTACATATCATGTTTGTCTTTTTGTGACTGGGTTACCTCGCTCAGAATGGTTTCTTCGAGTTCCATCCATTTTCCTGCAAATTTCAAGATTCCATTGTTTTTTTCTGCTGAGTACTACTCCATTGTGTGAATGTACCACATTTTCTCTATCCATTCTTTGGTTGAGGGGCATCTAGGCTGCTTCCAGTTTCTGGGTATTACAAATAG